GGTATGTCAGTAGTTTTACAGAAGTGGAGGAAAGGTAAGGACTCACGCCTGTCATGGGATGTTTGGCAGTGTCTGGGGACGGTTTTGGTTGCCACAAACCTGAAGCAGGGCTGGGTAGGGGTGAGGGAATTGGGTGGGGTGGGGAGATCCGTACGGGGTATAGGCCAGGGATGTTGCTAAACATCATAGAATGCACAGGAAAGCCCATCACAACAAAAGTTGCCCAGCCCCAAATGTCAACAATGCCAGTGTTGAGAAATCCTTGCACTGTGTCAACAGTGTGTGTCTATGAAAGATAACATTTCAAAGCCACAAAATGGTCACAGTGAACACGGAGGCTGGCAGTACTAGTGAAGTAATAAACTGAATGAGTGACTGCCTCCTGAGCAAACTCATCTCCCCTGAGCCTTAGTGTATGTTCACCCATACCCAAGTCTACAAATTTAGACAAGTGTATGGTTTTTTTTTTATTGATTTAAAAGTAGAAGGAAACAAAAAAATAAAAGAAAAAGAAACAAAGAAACAGAAAGAAACATGAATGCAAACTCTTAGGGCTTTGATGATCCAAGGAAGAAGGGCATGGCCTAAAGAAGCCAAACTAGTCCATAAAACTTATTTTTAGTTTTGTAATTAAAAATTTATTACATTATTTATTTATTTTGTGTGTGTGTGTGTGTGTGTGTGTGTGTGTGTGTGCGCGCATGCGCGCACATGCCACGTGTGGAGGTCAGAGGACAACTTTTTGGAGTCCATTCTCTCTTTCCACCTTGTAGGTCCTGATCAGGTTGTCAGGTTTGGTGGCAGGCACCTTTAAACCATTGAGCCATCTCATCTGCCTTATTTTTATTTATTTATTATTTATTAACTTATTTACTTAGTTTTGAGACAGAGCTTTACTGTGTAACCTAGGCTGAACTTAAACTCCCAATCCTCCTTCCTCTACCTTCTGAATGTCAAGATTGATTATAGGCATAAATCAGCAAGCTGTACTGTGAAACTTTTAGAAAACTGAACTTAAAAGAAATCTTTTTTTCCTATAAAGGACAGAATGACACCAACCCAAGAAGAAATGGACACAGATGGAGGAAAGGGCCTTTTGAGGGCATGCTAGCTGCTGCGTCCATTCAGCCCTGCTTAGTCACCCAGGAAATTGCTCATTTTTGCTTAGAGCCAACTTCAATGTGATCTGTTACTTGCAACCAACAGCATCCTGACTAATATATCATTAGATTAATAGGAGCAATATTTCAAGAATTAGTTACAATACAATGAAATAGGAAGACTGAATTGGCATTTTTTTTTTTAACAAAGGCAGAAATCCTAAAGTATTCATTCACTCCAGCAACATTTATGCCTTAACATGTGCCAAATATTCGGTGTTAGATGCTGGGAACATAAAGACAAAAAGCAAGCAAACAAATAAGCAACAGTAACAAAATATGTCTCTCAACTGAAGAGACAGAAAAGGACCAGGTGTTGTGAGCCCACACAAGGGACACTTGCTCCAGTGGGGCTCAGGAATAATTTACAGGTGGTGACTGTCTCAAGTGAGTCTTCAGGACATTCATGGGGAAATCAGGGCTAAGAAAGGCATCTAGCTGGACAGAGCAAACTGGAAGGGTTGGGTCCAGAAAGGTGAATGTGGGCCTCTGACAGCAATGCTTCATGATGGAATGTTCACTTCAAGAGGGTGGCATTACAGTGGCCAGAAAGGAGACTGGCATGAACGGTTATGTTTTGAAGGCCTGGGTGACAAATCAGGACTTCAGCTCAAAACTTTTGGGGAGCCACCAAAGTATTTTATACAGGGAAGCAACATGATGCATATTCAAATATTATTGTTATGATGGGAATAATAATAGCTATCTTGTAAAATTGCTGCAAAGATTATACATAAGAGTTAAAGTGATGACTACATGCTTAAATATGGCTAAGCCAAAAAAGGCACCCTTACTTCTGTTCAAATACTGTTAAAAACTCGTAACAGAGCATTCAATGGTAGGTGGGATTATGGAAAATTCATGCCAGAGGTTTAGACTTGCATTGAGGTATTCACCAGATTTTCAATAATGTGTAATCTAAATTCCAGGTCAGGCCTGGGGACGTGGCTCAGCTAGAAGTTTGCCTAGGGTGCAGGAAGCCCTAGGTTTGATCCAGAGCACCAGGTAAACTGGGAGTGGTGGTCCATACCCATAATCGAAGCACTTGGGAGGTGGATGCAGGAGGATAAGAGATTCAAGGTCATCCTTATCGATATGACAAGTTCAAGGCCAGCCTGGGGTACCTGAGATCTTGTCTTAAAAACAACAGAAGTCTAAATCTGTGAATCTATGAATTGTCCTTAAAAACCAGCACATTTTGACTGAGAAAAAGTTTTCAAGATCATTCTAGAATTAAAAGGATTCCAGCAGTCACTATATAATTTTTCAAGATCTGAGAACTGGGGAATAAAATAGCCTATAATCAGTTATCAATTGAGTTTTATGTTAGCCTTCATTTAATGAATGTTTTTGAACTATAAACTAACTCTAAAGAATGCTTCTCCTGGGTCACAAGGGGAAATAAGAAGGAAAAATACTTTGTTGCAACATAAAATATCAAATTAATCTTTTTCTGTTAAAGGAAGCGGGAGGGGAGGGGTGGGGAAACAGTTCACCTCAGGCTACCAAACCATTGCAAGATCTCTCTCTGCGATGGGTCACTGGGTTATGCAGTGAATGAATTTCACTTTCCCACTGGTTCCAAAGGTCTGAGGACATTTACTTCAGCTAATCATTTAGACATTTTAAGGAGACAAGAGAAATTACTTAGAAAACACCATTATTTAAAAAAAAAATCCTCAGGTCCTCAAGATGACGCAGCAGGTAAAGGCACTTGCTGTCAAGTGAGATGACCTGAGTTTGTTCCCCAGGACTCACATGGGGGAAGGAGACAACTGACTCTTGCAAGTTGTCCTCTGACCTTCACACGTGTACGTGTCCCATTTTAAGGAGACAAGAGAAATTACTTAGAAAACACCATTATTTAAAAAAAAAATCCTCAGGTCCTCAAGATGACGCAGCAGGTAAAGGCACTTGCTGTCAAGTGAGATGACCTGAGTTTGTTCCCCAGGACTCACATGGGGGAAGGAGACAACTGACTCTTGCAAGTTGTCCTCTGACCTTCACACGTGTACGTGTCCCTTGGCAGGTACACACACACACACACACACACACACACACACACACACACGCACACACATATGCATGCACGCACACACAGATCAATAAATATGATAAATTTTGAAAAAAAAGGGTAGAGCTGATTTTAGTAGAGGAAAAGGGAAACCATGAAAATATAACATATTTTAAGCAGGTTTGGAAGCAACAAATGATCTTGAAATTATAATACAGTCTTGTTAGGGCAGATGTGACTGAAACCAAGGACTAACTAGAAGTAAATTTCTATGAATTCAGAAATTCCTAAAAAGAAAAGAAGGGCTAGGATGAAGTAGTTTTATGATCCTGGACATTTTTTCCATTTTTCCATATTTAACATTTGATTCTTTGAAAGTTCAATATTTCCCCTAGCACAGTATGAAATGTTATTGATAACTTTTCTTTTCATCTTCATATATAACAAGTATTCACAGTAACTTATTTTTCTCCAGTGAACTATTTAATTCAAAACGTAGTCTGTCCAGATGTCAGTGTCACTGAGGCTGAGTCTCTCAAAAGTCCCTGGAAGGTTACTATTTTTTTTAAAAAAAGATTTAAAACAAAGGTAGTGTTAAACTCTGTTGTCAGCTATAAATCCCATGTTCACAGCAGCTGAGCTTTATTCTGAGACCATTGGCAAGCTATTTAATTCCACTGAGCTTCATTTTCCTCATCCTTAAAATGGGAATAATAAATAATAGGACTCATAAAATTCTTGAGAGGATCAAATTGTGTCACATACAAAAAAAATGCTTCATGTAATCTGTGGTAACTAATGAGCACTCAAAAATATCAACTATTATTTTGTTTGCATTTTCATTATTGTTTTAAGAAACTGAACATTTCCCAGCATAAATTCTAGCTTTTGAAATATACTGTTTTAAAAATACCTTATCAGAGCATATTGCCAGTTTTTATATTATTGGTTTCATTTTCCCAGAACAAATCATCTCACCTTTTTTGCTATTCAACCCACATAACACCAAATTTGGGGTACATTTATTTCAATTTCTGTATTCTGCATAGGTGAGCTAACACTGACTTTCCCTGTTACAGCACCTAAGAATAGGAACAACAAATCCATGTAGACATAATTATGGAATCATGATGTGCTGTCAGAAAAGAGTTCCAACTTTTAAGCATATAAAATACTAATTTCCAGGGCCGGGCATGGTGGCGCATACCTTTAATCCCAGCACTTGGGAGGCAGAGGCAGGCGGATCTCTGTGAGTTCAAGGCCAGTCTGGGAAGATTTGAGAGGAGGTAGTGAAGAGTGGAATATAATGAAAATACAGGACATACACTACATAGTGTTCTCAAAGAAGTAATAAAAGTTTTAAAATTTTACTTATTTTTTTTTATTAGAATATATATATATATATATATTTGCCTTTTTGAGACGGGGTCTCCCTGTAGTCCCAGCTGACCTGGAACTTGCTATGTAGACCAGGCTGGCCTCAAACTCACAGAGATCCATTGCCTCTGCCTCCAGAGTGCTGGGATTAAGGGTGTGCACCACCACACCCGGCTAAACTCATTCTTACCTTCTACTGTTTAACTATAGATCTTAAATATGGTCTTGAAGTGCAACCGTAGAGGAAACTAGCTAAATTAATGTATTAATAATAATTTGGGAAAATAAATGCACCCTTCTTTAAATATAAGACATGAAAACAGAATTTGTGGATTAGTTTAAAATGATGTGTTGATTTTTAGTAGACTACCATTTAAACAGAATGTTTATTTTTAACCCCTGCTCCTTCTATGCTCTCAAGCTTTTGTGAGAAGACCGCTTTACAGTACCTTGATCAGGTTGTGTCCCACAGTGTAGACAGCTGCTAAATTTCCCTTCTCTCCTGGAGCATGCATACCTGTACCATACCCATGCCAAGCAACTAGGTATGGGTTGTGAATTGTAATCCAGTATTTGACACGGTCCCCAAAAGTCTGGAAACAGTATGTGGCATAATCATTGAAGATATCTACCATGGTTGCATTTTTCCACCCCCCGTATTTTTCCTGTAGAGCCAAAGGCAAATCCCAATGGTATAAGGTAACTACAGGCTCAATGTTTCTAAGTGCCAGAGCGTCCAGAAGCACATTATAGTACTGGAGACCTTTTGCATTGACAACGGTTACTATTCCATCAGGGAACAGCCTTGGCCAGGAGATTGAAAATTGATAAAAAGAAACTCCTATAAAATCCAGAGCGGATAAATCTTTTTCCAGAAAAAGGTAACTGTCACTGGAACCACCCATGCTGTTGACATTCCTCAGATGTGTCTGGATGAAATGATCCCAGATCGAGGGTCCTTTTCCGTCTGTCTTCCAGCTCCCTTCCACTTGAAATGCTCCAGTCCCGACACCCCAGAAAAAGTTTTTAGGGAAAGTGTCATAGAGAAACAGCTGACTTGCATTTACCGGACTCAAATGAGGATTTTTAGCCCATATAGCTCTTCCGTCTCCAGAGAATCCAGTAACAGCCCGTAGTAGAATAAATGTTGACAGCACGACACATCTCAGCAGTGCCCCGTTGGACATTGTTTTCCTAGAGCGTGTGTTTCTTTCATCGGCGCTGAAGAAAATCCATTCATTCCCTGGAGACCCTGCTGCACAGCTTGCCTGCATTTGCCACGAACTGTGGCACTGTCTTATCAGCGCTCCAGTAAAAGCCTGTGATTGTAAAGCCCTGTCAATGATTAGCCTGGACTGGGCGACTTCGGATGGGTCTAGGACAGCCACGTAATTTGAGGGAGGTGGCCCCATTGCAGTCAACAACGTGTGTGCTCTTGTAATGGGAACAATAATTTGAATGTGTTAAGTAAACATGTAAACAATGTACAAAAGTGACATTTTCTGTGTAGTCTTTCACATGCATGCAGATCTTTTCTGAATGTTTTCAACATTATTAAATAAGGCATCTACTTTTCTATTTTTAGAGTTTTAAAGTGATAATTTTATTATCTCACATACTGGGAAAAGCAATTTTATGTACAAGTCAATAATAAAAAATAAATAGGGGCTGGAGAGATGGCTCAGCAGTTAAGAACACTGACTGTTCTTGCAGAAGACCCGGGTTTGAATCCCAGCACCCACATGGCAGCTAACAACTGTCCATAACTCCAGTTCTAGGGGATCTGACAGTCTCTTCTGTTTGCTGGCATTGCACAACCCGGGTGCACTTACCTACATGCAGGCAATACATGCATCACATAAAATAAAAATAATAAAATATATTTTTTAAAAAGAATAAAAAAACAAGACATTGCACTTCCACAAAAATTATAACACACCTAAGAATAATCCTTTTTTATTTACTTATTTATTTTTTTGAGATAAGGTCTTGCCAGGTGTGGTG